CCCCGAACCTGGGCCTGGACATAGCACGACACCTGGTGCCTGATTACATGTGACCAAGCGAACCAACTAGCTGGCTGAATTAGCATGTGATATCAAACTAATACATGCTTATACACTGAAAGTTTGAATGATATAAATCAAGTGTAGAAACACTAATATAAGTCTGAAAGATATTTGTAGCAAACATTACTTAACATAAAAAGCCTATAACTAGGTCTAACTGTTACTCTAGTCTATGAAGCCTCTAATGAAGATACTGAAAAACACTGACTCTAAAAATATTGAAGACTATAAAGTAATAATAAAGCCTCAAAAGAACTGGGGCTCACCAAATAGCTGATACGAGAATCCTAGCGCTCTAAGTCATCAACATGTAAATCATTATGTGCATCGTGAGATGCAGGCCCCAGGAAAAAGGGACGTTAGTACATTTAAATTGCACGGGTATGCAAAACAACTGAAAGAATGAAATATAAATGCAGAAACTGAAACTGGGCGGATAACTGAGAATTGATAACTGATAACTAAAATGATAATTGCTGAAACTAAAACTGAAATGATAACTGATAATTGATAACTGGAATGATAACTGATAACTCTTCTGAATGATGAGCCACATGTTTATTTGAATAAACTACAGTCTCGAGCCCAATATATATGTGCACAAGCTACAGCCTCAGGTTAAAAAATGCATAAAGCATACACTACGGCCTCGGGCCCAAACATGCATAAAGCATAAACTACAACCTCAAGTCCAAACATGCATAAAGGATAAACTACGGCCTCAGGCCCAAATACAGGTGTTCAACATTCAGGGGTTTAAATTCATGAATGGAGAATCATACTGCAATATGTGATGCTGAAATACTGAATCATACTAAGTTACATGATACTAGAATACTGAATAGGACTAGACTGAAATATGTATTTATGAACTGATTATGAAAATTGAAACTTGAACTGTTTATGATATGCTGAGTAATCTAGATTGAGACTCATGGGCATCAAATCCAAGTCTATATTATTACGCACTGAGCTCACAGCGTTTAGAAAGAAAGTCATGAACGAGTTATGAAGCTAGAGAATATAAGTTCTGCAACTATTCAAGGAACTAGGCTTAACTATATTTCTGAGAAATTAGCAACATCGTAAAAGATAGTAGTGTAGGGAGAATCATTAACATTCCCAAACATAGAGAGTTAGCCTCACATACCTTAACTTCCTGCTATTGAGCGTAATATAACATTCGCCACCTCTTTTAACTTTAATCTTTTGACGTTCAATCCCCTTGAATTCGAGTTCTAGGGTTTCGTTTCTCAATAATAATGTCCCAATAGAATATCTTGGATGATGGATGGACCTTGTAGGAAGTTAGGTTCTTGAGAGATTTCCTTTCTAGAGCAAGTTTTTGTGTTTTGGGGGTGTATGGGACGAAGTAGGGCTTATAAAACAGCTTTCCAGGTGCGTCCCCACACAGCTGAAGGCCCAACCACACACCTAAACGTGCAGCAAGGGCAGTAGCACTGCCACCAGTGTGCAACCACACACGGGAACAGCTGGGCGCGTACCTAGGCGCGCATACTATGCATTGTCCAATAAAACACATATAACGTTTTTCACAAAGGTCCATTCGGGATCTATAATATATCATGAAAAGGTATTTCAAAGGTATACAACTTTCATGTTTTATGGACTCCCAAATTCCCAACAGATTGTTACAAAATTCTGCTAGAAGACAGACCTTCCATAAACTTAGTCGTTTTTATTGAATCTTATGCACCTCACTCTCCGTCTTAATTCCAACACAACTATTTCCACCCATACTCATCCCTATAGGGCTTCATATGTTTAAGATGTCACATTAACGCTCATTTAACATGTTCACACCTAGTCCAAATTTACGGAGTGTTACAATGACCACTGCAGGTTTTGCTCTTGCAACAAACTTGTTACCCTTGGGCACCACAGTAGCATAGCATAAGCAGTATCAGATGTCCTTAGAGTGGATGTTTGCAATATAGCATTTCATATGGACTTTTCGCTCTGATGGCTGAAGATGGTATTTTGTTGATCAGGTACACTGATGCAGAAATACAAATACTCCAGTATTTAACTAGCATATGGGACTGAAATCTTATTGCTCTTACTATATCTAGTATGTGCATGTGCTTCCTCTCCACAACACCAATTTTTTGTGGAGTGTGAATACAACTGCTTTGATGTGTTATTCCAAGGTTTTGTAAAAGTTCATTACACTGGGAGTTGAAAAACTCTATGCTATTATCAGATCTCAAAACCTATACCATTGTTCCAAATTGGTTCTTTACCATCTACAAGAAAGTTTGCAATCTCCCTCAGTTGTAGGTACTGCTAAGCCATGTATCTTCTCCTTATTGATGTCTCATGCTCCCTTGTATATGTACAGTCCAGTATCTTCTCTACCAATCCCCTTCACTCTGCCAGTGTAGAGGCCCTAAAACAATACAAAATCATGGAAATATTCACTGAACATGAGAGCTGCCTAATTAAATTGGAGACTGATAAGAGATTAAATTTGAAGTCTGGAACATAAAGCACATTGTCCACTGCTTCTCCTCCAAATAAAAAGCTTGACCAATACTGGAAATAATAACTTTATCCCCTGTTGGTAAATGAACTTTGTCCTCAGATGACTTCTTGGTCTTAGGATCATCATTTAATAATTTTTCAATAGCTGTTATGTGGTGAGTTGCACCAGAATCCATGATCCACTCTTTTATGAGTGTGTGTGACATCAAACAAGCAGTAATATCTGCCATGTTGGCTTGGCTATCACCAGTTTCTTTGTTCAGCAATCATAGAATCTGCATGTACTGCTCCTTTGTGAAATATGGTCCCTTCCCAACAAAAGTGCTATGCAGATCACTTCCCGAAATACCTTGTGCTGAAGCAGAAGCATTGTTAGCAGCATTAAAGGGCTGTTGAGTGCCACAACCAAATTACCCACCAGGACTACCATTTCCATGACCATATTGGTTGCCAGTAACATTAGCAACATCGAACCTTTTCTTTCTCTTATAATCTTATAGGTAACCAATGATTTTGTAGCAATTTTCCTTTGTGTTCCCTTTAAGTCCATAATACTCACACTGCTGGAATGGTTTCTTACTTATCTAATTCTGATTATTATCAACTTGCATAACAAGGCTTGGTTAATATAAGGCTCTTCAGATTTTAATAGAATTTGTCTCCTAGCTTGATCATAAGAATCATTTAAGCCACTAAGGAACTGCAATAGCCTTTGTTGTTGAAGATGTTCAACATACTCTTTTGAATTGGGAGTGGGTACTAGGGCATTGTATTTATTCCAAAGGCTCATCAGCTTAGTGAAATAGATTGAGACAGAGTCAGTACCTTGCGACAGAGTAGCTATGGCTCTGTGTAATTGAAAGATCCTTATACAGTTCACCTTGTCAAATCTTTCTCTCAGTTCTTCCCAAACAAGGTGTGCATAAGAAGCTCTGTGGATATAGTGTTCATAAGCCATGAAAGAACAATTGCATTACAAGTCTCCTATTGTTCATGCAATTCTGCCGTGCACGACTCCTTGGTAAAAGTACCTGTTACAAAACCTAGTTTCCGCTTCCCCAGAAGAGCAATCTTCATTGTCCTGCTCCAGAGATTACAATTCTCAGATCCTGTAAGTTTTACCGAAATTAGAATTACACCTGGAGTATCAGATGGACCAAGGCATAGCCGATATGTGTATGGAATCGTCAACTCTGCCATTGATGAAATGAGATGACTGGAAGAAGGAATTCACAATCGATTCACAAAACTTAACGAGATTTTCAATCAAAAATCAGTTCGTGTGCTTCATCTTCATCGCCCGCTCTAATACCATGCTAAAATGCTTGAGAATCAATGAGCTGGAGCTCGAGCTAGCAAGCTCTTCAATGGCGGAAACTTCTAGAAGACATGCAGAAGAGAGTCTGGGAAGGAAAATGATAACCGCTTATCTCATTACACTCGTTAATAGACTATATATACTAGTGTCTAACTACTTAGCAAAGTAATAATAATTATACAGCTAAGTACAGCTAAGTTGATGACAACTAAACATAACTAACTATAACTATGTTACAGCTAAGCTAATGACAATTAAGCATAACTAACTATAACTAACTACGCCACGTGTGTATATCATAAGAATGTCTTTTTCGAAGTCATTTTCCTAGTCTTTTCACGTGTCATTTGTTAGCAACTCCACATGCTTCCGATTATAATTAGAGATGAACACGACAAACAATAATTTTAAAACAATGTCTTACTATCCATTTTATAGTGTGTTTTGAAATTGAATGTGGAATTTTAATTTTTTAGTGAGATTTTAAGATTAAAAGCTTCAAAGGATATTTTTGATTATATATATTTTACTTAATATCACAAGATTCAAAAAAAAAAAAAAATCAAACTAGCACGTTCTAAATACATATTCCCTCTGGTTCACTTTAATTGATTTTTCGGTTGTTTTTCTCACATATTAAGAGATCCATCTTTTAGTACTAATTAACAATGAAATTGACCATATTAATCTTAATTTTTTCATTAAAAATATAACAAATACTCCTAGGCTCTTTACTCCAAGGGCAACTTTAGAGAAAAGAAGTTAATTCCTTTTTGATATCTGAAAAAATTAAATATTGTGCACCACAAAAAAAATCAAAAAATCAACTAAAGTAGAGCGGAAGGAATAATAAGTATCGAATAAGCTAATAAGGCAAAGACTAGCTAAGAGATAATTATAAACGGAAGACAACCAAACAAACAAAACTATGATTACCAACGAAGAGAAACAAAACATTATTCTCGAGAAAAATATCAATTCTCGTAAAAAAAATGAATACAAAAATTTAAAAAGAAATATGACTACCTAATAAAAAATTGATTGTGCATATACCCACTTTTAAAAATAAATCTATCTAATTCTAATTATCAAAATCCTCCTCTGTCTCCAAAATGTTTTATTGTGGAGGTCCTTCAAGACGAATATAGTCATACATTAGTCCATTAAAAGGACCATTAGCTGAAGCTTGCTTCAAATATATTATATTTTCACCAATTTGAAGTATATTCCCTGGAAATTGAATATCGAAGGTCATATACAAGCCATGAATTCCATGTCTGGCTATTGCATTACTTTGCCCAATTTGTAAAGTATCAAACCATGGCCTTGGTTTTGAGGGAGTGTTTATCCACACCTATAAATATAGAAATAAAAATAAAAATAATATTACGTTTATTGCTATGGAGATAGAAAGGACAAACTAATGGAAAAAAAAGAGTAGACAACAACAACAAATTCAGCGTAATCTCATAAATGAGATCTAGCTAGGGAAGGTAATATGTACGCTGACCTTACCCCTACCTTGTAAAGGTAGATAGCCTATTTTCGATAGACCCCCAGCTCAAGTAAAAAAGAAAAAAGAAGCAGTAACAACAGCAAGATAAGATGATAAGATAATCGAAGCGAAAGAAACAACAGGTAGTAGTAGAAATCTAAAAATATAAAAATAATACTAATACTACTAGTATGAAAAAGAGGCTGAAAAAAATAAATTGATATTATAAAAATCTATTTCTAGTCAGAAAAAAGTAGACTGAAAACAAATTTATTTACAATATCAATGTACTTTAACCGGTTATAGCATCACTATTTCTACTTTGTTACCAATCAATACTTAAATAAAAATTATATGTAATTATCTTAAAATAATTTGATTGTGTAAATAGTTATTAAATCGTCAATGCATAAAACTTAATAACCGTTTGATATTTGTTTATTCTTTTTCAAAATTCTCAATATTGTTTTTTCTTTATGAATTTTAAAAACTAAAAGATGTTACATACTTGCAAATGGCCATAGGATGCAGAAGCCAAGGCTATACGAAGATAGTAAATGCCATTAGGATCCACATTTGTGAGATCAAATGAAATTTGCCATGTTGTTGGTCCATAAGTATTGTCCAAATTTCTCCTGCAATATTAAAAAAAATATTTTAAAAAACTAAAACATACAATTATACACGATTAACAAAATATTAAACGAAGAAATTATACTGTCTAATCACCTGGTTACATGGGCAAAGAACCAATCTTTTCGAAAATCACTAACACCAACTTTGTATACTAAATCTCCATTAGGATACAAATCCGCATAACGATTCCACAAACCATATTGTCTAAACCTGCAATTAGAAATAAATGATAATGAAATCAATGTATTTGTGAAATTCCATATTGTAGAGTTTTTGTCTAATGTAAAAATGAAAATTGATACAAAATTAGGACTAATTGAAGCTTACTTATGTACAGTAGTGTTAATGTACAAATAATTCTGAAGACCAGGCAATGGATCAGGTATAAAAAATTCAGCAGCAGTTCTATCAGGGAAGCCAATTTCCCATAGAGTTGGACCATTTCTTGGAGCTTCAAAAACTATTTGACCTAAATCTATGTTATTTCCTGCACAAAATAAATCAATCTTTGTTAGAAATTATGTCATAAATAGTCCATTACTCCCTCTATTCCAATTTATATGATTAGAGGTGTCAAAATTGGCCCAGAAAAACATGACCCGTTCAACCAGTCCAAAATTGGGTGGGTCAATGATCCGCCCTTTTGTTGAACTCATCACATCTTGACTTAACCCATTTCGGCTCATCTAAAGTTGGGTTAGCCCAAATTGATCCATGAGTAATTTTTCCAAAATATCTTTAAAATATATATTTTTGGTTTGAAGAAAAAAGGTCTTATTTAGTAATTAAACAATTTATAAGAAAATAACACATATTAATTAAAGCTTGGTAAGAGTTGGGCGGTTTGGACAATGACCAGATTTTAGCTCATCTTGACTCACTCCATCTCAACCCAAGTAACTTTTGGGTGGGCCAATGACCCACTCATTTATTGACTTGCCCATTTTGACCTGTCCTAAATCGGTCCAACTTGTCTATTTGACACCCCTATCAATAACATGATGCATTCTTCATATTTTACCCTTAATTATGATATGCTCTTGTAATTATAGAAACGAGATTGCATGTTTAAGACCAAAATTTAGGATATTATTGATACATGTCATAAATATCTTTCTTTTTAAATTTCATTTTCGGTCAAATAATACCTGGCGTAATGGATATATAAGAGGAGAACATGTAATCTCCAATAACTCCAGGAACCCAAGAATATACGCCATAAACTCCAGGTCTAACATTACTTATCTTGAAGTTACCAGAATCATCAGTTTGAGTCCAAAATTGATAACCCTGTCAACAACAAATAAATAAACAACATAATAAGAATATTTTTAATCTAACGTTACTGATAATTAACCATATATTCAAGTTTCTATATATAGAAAATATAGACAAAAAGGCATTACCTTGGTCTCACTTTGCCAAGATCCTGCAACTCCAGGATTGGCAAGTCCAATATATGCATTTTTTGCAGGAAAAAGATCTTTGTTTATGTACCTAAACAACATTTATAGAAACTCTTTAATAAAATAGCTTATAAATGATTATATACACTGATAACGTAAAGAATTTTCCAATCAGTTTGTTGTTATATATGTAGTTATTTTTTAAGTGACCTAATAGTATAGAGTTACCCGTCATGGACCATTAATTGACCACTAACTGAACCGCGTTCATTTGCATGGGGATAGTCTATTGATGCTGGGAAGTCATATGGCCATTTTGTAGTTTCTTCATTCATCTGCAAAAATTGACAAAATTTTAGTGTTTATTTTACATTTTTTTCAGCAAAAAAAAAAAAAGATTTTTTAAATTGAATATATTTATTAAGTGAAATTAACAATGTTAATTGAGATTAATTAATTACCTGTCTTTTGGCATCTTCCCAAAGTACGGTATGATCAATGCCAGAATCTGAGTTAACATAGAAAAATACAGGACCAAAAACCTTTTTCCAATATGCCTCTCCATTTGTTAGTGAAACTCCCAATAGTGGTGCTGCATAATGACTACTGAAAAATACCTGTACAAAAAAAGAAAGAGATAAATTGCCCAAATATTTATAATAATTTTTACTTATAACGTTTTTATAAAGTTTAACTTCAATATGGTGATAGTGTAAAAATTCGTTACTTACTGCCATGGATGTTGGACCAACGTGAGAAGAAAGATCTTGCTTCATAGGACCACCATTGCAATATTCATAACTTGGTGAGATTACCCAAAACCCCATATGTGGAGTATCACCTATCCATCCATGTACTTTAATATTTTTAATCTCATCCGAGTATTGGTATTTGTCATCCACCTAAAGGGCAAAATATTACATCAGTATAATTTAACTTGTTATAATAAGTTATTAGTCTATTTGTTACTGTAAATCAACTTAACCTAATTATTTATACTCAAGTGTAAATTCGGCAATAAAATATCTTAGTTGAATATTGGAAAAATATTTTTACCTCATCTTTGAGTTTAGGGTTGGAAGGATTTGTGAGTTTAACAGCTTCTTTAAAATCAAGTACTTGGCCACTTGCGCGATCCTCTTCTGATGGCATCACCCTTTGCCTATCGTCTGATATTGCCATATAATGGAACCTAGTCATAAATATTAAAATAAAAAAGGTCACCAAATATTAAACAAAGTTAATGTCCAACAAAATAAGTACTGTCCTCTTCAGTTATGCAAAAGACTTTAATTTAATATTGGAATTGACTTGACAATGACACACGTATATGTGTATATATTAGATATTGCATAGTTCAAGAAATTTAATTTTTGGAAGCAAATTAAGCAGTTACGGAGTCAGTATTTTCAATAACGAGATTCAAAATATAAAATAATATACATGTGAAAGTCAAGGGGATATAACATATACTTCCTCCGTTTCAAACTAGAGGTACTTTCCTTTTTAGTCTGTTCCAAAATAAATGACACATTTCTAAACTTGAAAATAATTTAACTTTAAACTCTTTTATTTTATCCATTTACCCTTAATAAGAAATTTTTATAACCACACAAATATCATAAAGTGGAACCTAGTCATTTTAAAAAGAGTTTACACAAAATTAATGTCCAACATAATAAGTACTGTCCTTTTCAATATACAAAAGATTTTAAGTTCAATATTCGAACGAACTTGAGAATAACACACCCTATATGTATCTATACTATATTAAAAGCACGAAAACCCTTAACGAAATGGCGTTCGCCTTTTTACCTTTAAAAAATATAATTCACACTTGATAGAATAGTCATTTTATTAATTTTCTAATATTTAGTATTTTGAAATCAACTACACTTTATTTATTATAGTAGGAAATCTCAATATTTAGGACATTTAAATCAATAAAATATTTTCTTTTATAATTCAAAATCCTAATATTTAGGACCAATTATAACAACTAATTTTGACGTTAAACTACGTTTTAGGAATTCAAATTTTCAATGTTTTAATATCTAACCACTAAGCATTATATTTGTATTCAAGACATTAACGTCAAAAAATGAAGAACTGCTATTACTTTTTAATTTGAAGAAAAGAAATACTATATTGGTTCTTCCATTTTTGTTTTTGATCCAATATTATTGATTATTTTGAAAGTAAAGTTAGACAGGGAATTAGAGTTAAAATAAGCCAATATACAATTAATATGAAGAATTAATTTCTACTCACTCTGTCTCGGATTATTTATCATAATGTCTAATAGATGTTTCAATTATTTGTCATTTTAGAAGTTTAAGATAAAATTAATTATTTTTTCCATTTTATCCTTAGTAGTAATTATTCTTGAAGATGGAGATGACACATAAATAAAATAAATATTCAATGAAGAGAGATTATATTAAAGACATAAATAAGGGTAAATAGTCAAAAATTTATTCTAATTAATTTTTTCTTTAAAGACGTGTAAAAGAGAAATACGACAAATAATTTAAGACGGAAGAAGTATTTAATAGTAATCAAGACTCAAGAATTAGTAATCAAGACTCAAGAGCCTATAAATAGATAGAAAGATGATGAATTATTAGTGTTATGAAACATTTAGTTTAACAACAAAAACATAACTCCAACCAAATAAATAATTGGTCAATGTCAGAAATCTCATCAATTGGTAAATGTTACAATTACATTATTAGTAGAAAAGTTGCAGTAATAAAGTCACAAAGTTTACTAGAAAAACTAATTAAGTTTTGGTTGGTGGAATTTTATTTTCTAAAAGTTGAAGGCAGCAAATTTTATTGGTATTTGTGCTAAAAAAAATAGAAAAGAAAAATTTTAACTCACAAAATTAAAACTCTATATTAAAATTATTCAAAGTCGCAAGCCGATCTATATTTTTCTAAATACAAGAAGACTAAAACAAATAATATTGGATCTTTGATTAAAATTAATTACTATATATATATTGTTTTCGCCAACAACTAAAAGATATACATGAATCTATATATATATATATATATATATATACT